ATTATCACCAACAACAGCTTGAGAACTGCATTGCTTTGGAAGAGTATTCTCAGTCTGAGAACTGACTTTAGCAGGTAGCTGAGTGTTAGCAGCATTAGAATCATCATCAGTTGGTACGGTCGGTGCTTTTGTCACGAAATTCGTACGAGCCAACAAGGGCTTATCAGCAACAACAGCAAGCATAGATGAGCGATGGTCGGCAGAAAAAGCCGAATCATCCAAAGCAGTGACACCAGGCGACAGCACACCTGCATCAGCAGACAAGACGAAGCCAGGCGCAGCACTAATAATTTTACATTCGCCACTTATCAATTTTGCTATCGATCGTTTAAGATCACTGACCTCACTGGTAAGGCAAGCAATAGCCGAAACTAAATTCGATGTTGAGCTAAAGCAATTGTTGCAATTGAAAACAATGTTTTTATTATTTGCAAGTAAGTCGGATACTTCTTTGCTATCAACTTTAGCACAAATTTTATGAAATTTACTTTTGCACACTTGGCATGATATTTCATAGCCAACACGTAAAGATTTCGAGCACTTAGAGCACGTTAAAATATCCATAGCGAGAGCTAAATAAAAACACGTCTAAACACTATGACGATTAGATCAATCGCACCACGCCCACCTTGACCGCCCATACAACAATATTTATAGCTTTTTTTATTCTGGATAAAAACTGAGCAAGTTATAAATAAATACTATGTTTATTAGATTTTATGCATAAATTTAGCATATATGTATGTATGTACATTAGAGTGGTCCAAGAAATCCCTCTTGTGTTCTCTTTGCTAAAAAATTAAAGTACATAACTTGGTTAAAAATATAATAATAAAATTTAGAGGTCGCTCAAGTCCATTTTAATTGTGCTTAAAGCTACTCGTCCTTCAATTCGTGCGCACACGAATTCGCTCAGGTAATTTAAGTCTTATAAGATCTTATAATATGCTCTCGAGGCCGCTGAAGATAATAGGAAAGTTATATTTTCGAAAAAAAATTTCAAAAAAATTTCGAAATTTTACTTTAAAAGTTGATTATTTGTTAGGAAAAATGTACTTGATTTTATGTCAGTAATGATATTTATAGCCACATTTTTAGCAAACAAAATCAGTCATAGCAGAGAATTTTACGTTCATAACTTCTCGAGATATCGGCAAATTTTTGAACCTGAATTTAGATGCGTGGCAAATACCTGCATTTAGAAAAAGTACCGCTTTAAATTTTTGGCATTTGGAAGATATTTTGTAGTTACAAGTATCTGATATTTTCAAGGTCACTACGCCTCGAGATATTGAGAAATATTAAAAAAACGTAAAAAAATAAAAAAATATTTCTCGATTCCTGAAGAGATATATATTTACTTTAGTAACCTCAATGGTGCTTATGTCGTATCCATTCTTATGCAAATTTAAATTTTTTGAATACAAACACTTTTTTTAATAATTTTACATTTGGTTAACTTGATAATTCAAGTAGTAAGAATTAATAGTTTTGTTCTTTTTTTCTTTTTCAGACAGTTAGAAATAATGTTTAAGACCCCTCCCACCTAAACCGAATTGGAGAACAGCTGCTTCGCTCAAAGTAGCATTCGACCGGCGGAACCAAAGCTTCTTTAATTTAAGATTTCTTGCAATTTGTTTTAATATTGGAAAATAAAATATTAACTAATTTAATAATACATTTGTTTGCAAATTAATAATCTCAAATAAAGCTTATTTCAGTCATTAATTCACTGCCATTAATCTTATCTGCTGCAGTCCTTATTAAATTAATTACAAACTTAGAGAATTAACATTTTGTGTATATAATGGACTTGAGTGACCTTTTAAATTTTTTATTTTTATTAAAAGAAACACAAGTTGTTTCTCAACATTTGAGACGAAGCAAAAAAACTAGTTCAGCGCACTCAGTGACCTTGAAAATATCAGATAACAGCTCAAAAAGTCTAGCAAAGGCCGAAAATTTAAAGCGGTATCCGCAACGCATCTAGATTAAAGTTCAATAATTTGCCGATATCTCGAGAAGTTATGAACGTCAAATTCTCTGCTATGACTCATTTTGTTTGCTAAAAATGTGACTATAAATATCATTACTGACATAAAATCAAATACTTTTTTTCTTAGAAATAATCAACTTTTAAATCGAAATCTCGGAATTTTTTCTCGTTTTTTTTTAATTATTTTCGGAATATCTAATCTGATCTGATTTCTGATCGAAAAAATAACTTTCCAATTATATTCAATTTCCTGAGGGATTTCGCGGTCGCACGAATTGAAGGGCGAGTAGCTTTAAGTAAAATTAACATGGACTTGAGCGACCTGTAAATTTTATTATTTTTTTGAAACCAAGTTATGTACTTTCATTCTTTAGCAAAAGGAACACAAATTTTCATAAGGACTGAATAATATTAAAAAGAAGGATTTCTTGGACCACTCTAATGTGCATGGATAAGTGCATATAACTTTAAATCATTCAAAATCTCTATTGCATTTTGATAAACATCTTTTAATATGAGTAACATTATTTTTTACTTGTTGGTTTATACCTTGAATTTTGGTTTTATGTTATGTTATTTTTTGGAACACCGAATTGCAAATTGCATCGATTTTGTTCCCATTTGCAATCCAAATTTCCAACATTTCAGAATCGCTGAGCTGTAGGTTAACTGACAGAAATCACAAAATTTTCAAAAGCGGACAAAAACGAGCAAAAAAGGTGTTACCAATATATTCTACTTACCTTGCTATTTATTATTCATGCTAGATATGTTTTTATTGATAGTAAAAATATTAATTTCTCACCACTTAAAGTTCACAACACATAGACAAATGAACATAGAGTTACAATTGAAGTGATAGAAAATCTGACTTCATGGCTTCACAAAAAACAAGGTTTGCTAGCTAAATTTGTTAATTAAAGTTTTCAGGTACTTTGGAGTGTGGGATATTAGAAAACCCATGACTGATAGGTTTTTATTGCTTTATACACTTTAGTTAATAATTTAGCATCATTAGATTCGTGCACCAGCGTGCATTTATATAACTTTAACACTACGACAAACAAAACCATTCATGTTTTTTACCTATGAAATACCTCCTCAAAAAACAGCGACAATAAACTTACAAACATAAGCAAAGGTGTTACAAATATATTCTACTTACCTTGCTATTTATTAGTCATGCTATATATGTTGTTATTAATAGTGAAAATATTAATTTCTCACCACCTAAAGTGCACAAAACATAGACAAATGAACAAAAAACAAGGGTTGCTAGCTAAATTTGTTAATTAAAGTTTTCAGGTACTTTGGAGTGTGGGATATTAGAAAACCTATGACTGTGTTAAACAATTTTGAAAACAAATGTGTTAATGCCAAACATTTTTGATATGGGACCAGTGTGCGCTGTTAGAAAAACTGTTTCCCATTGTTAGGACCAATGATTGAACCTAGGTTTTACCGAGTGGTAGTACGTACCTCTAACCACTCGGAAAAAAAGAAATATTTGATTGACATCGGCAGCATCCAATAAATAAATTTAAGTAAGAATTAACTTAACGTTGAAAAAATCTACTAAATTAATTTAAGTAATAATTATCTTAACGGAAAAAAATCTACTATATCAAATAAACACACTACTTAAGTTAATTGTTACAAAATTCCCTTTACATATACATATTAGGTTTCCACAATCCTCAACTCAGGAGATGCAGGACACGTCAATTCCACCGACGAAACCGCAACAGCAACAAACCACTACGCAATCATTAGCAACGCCATTACAAAATAACATCAATCGTAAACTGAATGGATTTCTTAATTTAAAAACTCCATTGATTGGGTGAGTCTATTACATTTTAATATGCATATCTACAATCAGCCCTTTATCGTTATCGTCGTAGATCTTAAACCAAGGACCGTAACGGTTATAACTTTTATTATAAAAATCGCTTTTTAATCGTCATTAACTGAGTTTTATTTTTTGACCAAAACATAACGATTATTTTTTTAGTTTTATTTTTTACTCAGAAAATAAATAATCGTTATGTTTTGAGTTTTATTTTTTGCTCGAAAAATAATCGTTACGTTTTAAGTTTTATTTTTTGCTCAGAAAATAATGGTTACATTTTAAGTTTTATTTTTTGATCGGAAAATAATCATTACGTTTTGAGTTTTATTTTTTGCTCGGAAAATAATGGTTACGTTTAAAGTTTTATTTTTTGCTCGGAAAATAATCGTTACATTTTAAGTTTTATTTTTTGCTCGAAAAATAATCGTTACGTTTTAAGTTTTATTTCTTGCTCGGAAAATAATCGTTATTTCATGAGCTTTATTTTTTGCTCAGAAAATAAAACTTAATTTTTGCGTATGCCTATGTGCATGCGTGAATAGACAGGGGGCAGCTGCATTGAGTTTTTAACTCCACTGTGGAGTGGGTAATAAAAATACGGAGAGCAAGGTAAGGGACAGGAACAAAGACAAGGGCAACGACAAAACCACAGACACTCACAACCTATATTGAAGGATCAAGCCAATGATAGAGATGAAGAACAGGACAAAGTTACAGATAAATAAAAAGACAAGAATAAAGATAATGATGAAGATGAAGATGAAGATGAAGATGAAGGTACATGTAGTTTTGAAATGAAGCCCTTTCAAAACCATTTCGACTGATACTCATATTGATATAAATCATTTAAATTATTGAATAGTTTGAATTTAACCTTTTAAATAGTTGGCAACCTTTTAAAACCCCTTTCGTCTGACACTCATACTGTGATCTAATATACTAATATACATTTTTAAAACGGTTTTTTTTTGAGTTCGCAAAGCTCGAGAACAGCCGAACCGATTTTTTTTTTTAAATTTCGGCCAAAAAAATGTTTGATATATAAAGGGGGCGTGACACTTCCCATACAAACCGAATATTTCATACCGAATATCTCTGGAAATGTTCATGGTAGAGTACTGGAACTTCGTGTGGAGATATATGAATTAATCTTCTACTCATGGAGAAAAATGGCGTGGCGCCATACAAACGTATATATAATTCATCTGTAGGTATGTTTGTGAGTGAAATCCACCTAAATGCTCGCACGTATTTTTGTGTGTTTTTGAGTAACTCTCTGGATAGTGTAGTTTCACAAATTCACCCGCCAATACGAATAATCGCCAAGTTAGAAGAGGTGCCGTGAATTCCCGATTAAATCGACTTGTTACACCATTGAGTGTTTCGAACTCTTGTGTGCTACGATTGGCCCAATGGATGTGATTTTTGCCAGTATTGTTATGCGTTAAAGCTTCATTCGTAGACACCAGCGTTGAGTTGTGCAGGGGTAAATGTCAAATTATCACCGATAAATCAACCGTCAGATCCACAGTGCGCCTTTTACTGTAATAAATTCAAATAAAAAATAAGTTTTTACTTAAACTGCTTTCGTGAAACTTACTTTTAAGGTATTTCTGAAATAAGTCTGTGTATATTGGATTGCTGTAGAACAATTATACGAATCCATTTTAAATTGCCACCAACTATATTCTAAAGTTTCTGGGACAGATTCACTATAGAATCGGATTATTGTTGCCGCCAGGGAGTGAAGAGGAAATGTTCTTCACATTTATTTCGTTGTGAGATTAACCGTTTTATGAAATGCTGCACATTTAGAGAATTTCATGAACTTCTTCACGACATTAACGCTTTTGTTAGGTTATTTAAGCGGCAAACGACCACTAAACCATAATCTTAGCCGATGAGCGTGCCAATGGAAATCGTAAACGTGAATTGTTGGTGAAAATATTGGACTAAAAAGTTCCAATAAAAAAATAATAACTTTGGGCGGGACGAAGTTCGCCGGGTCTGCTAGTATTATAATCAGGGACCGTAACAGTTACAACTCTTATTAAAAAAATCACTCTTTAACAATTATTTTTTGACTTTTATTTAATTACTCTTTAAATAACCGTTATATCGGACTTTTATTTTATAAATCGAAAATAACAATTATTTTTGATTTTTATTTAAATAATCTGCAAATAAAAGTTATTTTTGATTTTTAAATTTTATGTCTTAAATAACAGTTATCGAAGACTTTTATTTATAAAAGTCATAAATAAAAATCAGTCACTGATTTTTATTTTTTCAATCATACTTATAAAAGTCATTTGAATAAGTCGTAGTAAACTTTTGTTTTCCAACACCTTCTTAACAGCGAAAATGACTTAATGACTTTTATATGATTGATTTAAAAAATAAACGTCGGTCACTGATTTATATTAATGACTTTTAAAAGTAAAAGTCACTGACTGATTTTTATTGATGACTTTTATAAATAAAACTCTTCAATAACTGTTATCTAAGCCATATAATATAAAAATCAAAAATAATTGTTATTTTGGACTTATGATATAAAAATCAAATATAATTATTTTTTAAATTTTGCATAAAAATATGCAAATTAAAAAATGCAATTTTATTATGAAATTTGAGTCTCGGTGCAAAACGAAATCGATTGGTATGTTTCACTTAGTTGTTTAGCTGGTTTCCTTCATAGTGAACTTTTCCATGACAGTTTTCATCAATAACTGTTATGTTCGGTCCCTGATTATAATATTTCCTTTAAACTAATTTTATTGAATTTTTAAAAAGGTGGCAACCCTTGTGAAAAACTTCAATATCATTCAAAATTTTAAAACTAAAGGTTTCTTAACAATATTTCGTTTGACAGCCTTATTTTAACTCTTCAGATAGCTTGCGTAAAATTAATTTAAATTAGACTTTGCAAACAGGTGGCAACCCTTTAAACGATATATTCAAACGACAGAATATTTAAGTCTCTTGGCATCCACATTTTAATATAATTTTTAAATAAAAAACTCCCTCAATTGAAGTTGAATTTGATTTTTTTAAAAGGTGGCAGCCCTCATACATGAGTGAATAATGATTTTGTATATCCCCATACCAAGTTCCAGTAATCTACCAAAAATATTTCCTGAGAAATGCTGTATGAAAAATTCCGTTTGTATGGGAGGTGCCACGCTCCCTTGTCTAATCGAAATTAAATGTATCCTATATTTTAAGTTGGGCTAAATGACAGGAGTGTACAAAATTTCGTGATGATCGGTTGAGTAGTTAAAGCGTGAAAGCGTAGCAAACAAAAAACTCACTTTCGGATTTATAATATTAGTAAAGATAAAGATTCTCGAGGGGGTGTGTTGTATATACTTGTTGTATTCTACCTTCATGCGAACAAATTTATATACATAGCTTTGAATATTCTTTTGTATAGTGTTTTATGAAATGTTAAAAATTTTCACTTACTTCACAAAGCTCTTTCAATAAAGAACACTCTGCTAAAATATATACGTTAGGGTGGATATAGTTGAAATTTGTATGCTCTCACCCGATAGGATTGTTCTGTTTTTTTTGTTTATCAAAAAGTAGATAGTCTATTGTGCGTGGCCCTTTACCTTATACTTGAAGGATTTTATACAGGCTAGCTTTTCGTTCCATATTTGGAATGGATCAAGTGTTACACTACCTAGGTCAGCAACTCTGTGTCTAGCGAGAGCAACATATTCACAAAGGATGTATTCTGGCGTTTCTTCGTCCATCTCACAACACCAATAGACGCTCGTGTATGAAAGATTCATTTTACTGTGGTGATAGCGCAAGGTACAATGTCCCGTGAACTACCCAGTGAGAGTTCGAAGGTCCTGCCTGCTTAAATGTATTAGCTTTTTTGAAGCTTCTTGTGAGCGACAGGTAGGGTGGCCAGATATTATACGGACATAATCAGTACAGTTGGGATCAAAAATCAGTACAGAGCCATAAAAATCAGCTCATTTTTAAGCGTATTTTTTATTATTAACAATACAGCAACCAAATAACAGCGCATTAATTAAAAAA